CTGAGCATGGCAAGTTACAACCAGAGCAATCGATTCCGATATTTGGAAATTTAAGGAGGGTTAGGTTGTGGGGGTGACTAAAATGCTTGTTCGACGACGACGACGACAAATTGATGGCATTGTATAGAGCTTCATCATCGTCTTCCGATGATGAGTTCTTTGATTTCGACGGTTTCCCCATGGATTCGAAGCTCAAGGGTTTGGCGCCGCAGCCACAATAGGTAAATAACAAAAAAATGTTTCATGCCCCTTTCTCCACCCCTTTGACACCCCCTATCTGGTTATATTTTCTTTTTCTTTTTCTTTTTTTCCTTCTCCTTCAATTACCACTCGTCACGTGCGTGGGGTGGTGATTAGAAGGGTCTCTATCATGACTCGGTAAATAAATATGATTAATTTTAATTTTATCCCTTAAAATATCACAATTTTTTTGGATAAATTACCAACACCTCCCTTGAGGTTTAGCTAAATTACATATTTTCTCCTAAAATTTTAGAAACTACATCCTATCCCTTATGATTTATATTTGCATAATAATTTAACCCATATCGTTAACTAAGGCCTCGTTTGAGAACCCTCATTTTCAACCAAAAAGTCAAAAAGTTACTAAATTAGTCAAAAAACCAACAACTCATACCAAAAAGTCAAAGATTCTATTTTCTCTCTACTTTTTGCACATCTTTTCGTAAAAAGTTAAAAATATCCCAAACATACTAGTTTTTTTTAGCTCATATTTTAGCCAAATAGCCAAAAAGTTACTAAATTAGCATGTTCCCAAACGAGGCCTAAATGTTAAGAATGATTAGCTAATATCACCAAAATATAAATTGATGGACGATATTACCTCTGCTAAAATCCATTTGATAAATCAACAAAATTTACAAAAAAAATTACATTAGATGAAAAAAAATATAAAAAAAAAAAAATTAAGTTTTTGAAACCATATTTGATTTGTTGTTTAGAAAAAAAATTTCAGAATCAAAAACAAAAAAAAAAATAAATTTAATAAAAATAAATATGAAAAAATATATTTAATTTGTAAAAATTATTTCTAACCATTCAAAAGATAAAATTATACAAAAATAATATTTATATTTTATTTTTTATTTCTTAACCAAATTAATTTTAATTTTTTTTAAAAAAAATTTAAAAATAAATTTCTAAAAATCAAACCAAACATATTGTAAGAATTTTTTGATAAGTCATTTCTTATGTTTTTAACTTATTTAATTATTTGTTAATTTTATAATAATTTCACCATCAGACACTACAACATATAAGAGTTTTAGATATCAAATAAAATTAATTACGAAAAGTCGCTAAAAGGTCGCATTGAAAAGTAAAAAATAAGGCTTTTAGCGATAAAATTTCGAAAATGTCAATAATAAATACTTTTAGAGATAAAATAATTTGGTCTTAAAATGGTTAATTTTTTTAGATAAAAATTTTGATACCCAAAAGATAATAATTAATCACTAATGTTCAATTTTCGTTACTAAAAATATAATAACGACATTTTTCGCAACAAAAATATTTTGTCCCTTAAAAATAATTTGGTCCCTAAATTTTGGTCTCTAAAACTTTAATTTTTTGTAGTGTAATAAGTGTTTTTCCATTTTAATCTTGCATTTCATAACTTATTTAAAAATGATAATTTAGCTAAACCTCAAGGGAGAATTTGTAATTTAGTTAAACCTCATGAGAAATCTGTAATTTATTTAAACCTTAAGGGAAATCTGTAATTTAGCGAAACCGCAAGGGATTTTTAGTTAATTTATGATATCCGTTGACGGTGTTAATTGTGATGGGGCGGGATGTAATTTTTAAAACCTCATGAGAAAATCTGTAATTTCGTTAAACCTCAAGGGAGGTATAGATAATTGGCCCCAAATTTTTTATAGTATAGCTAAGGTGTTGTCAGGCCACAGTGGATTCAATCCCATACCCATTTTAATGATCTAAACTATTTAAAGTATATAGTTTGTCGAATACATCAATTTTACAATATATATTATATATATATATATATATATTTATCGAATATCGATTACATCAATTTTACAATATATATATATATATATATATATATATATGTATTGATTGAATATTCATAGCAATTTGATTAGATTGCATTTGTTTTAAAGGCAATTATGATTTTAAAAATATATCACAAATAAAAATGCAATCTAATCAAATGGTTATCGATATTCAATCAATGTAATTTTTGACAAGGAACATGTACTAAACGAATTCTACACATTAACGGATTCGATGATCAAGATGGACTCAAAGTCAGGCTCACTGAGATAGAATTGTGACGCCCCTGAAAAATGTTTTCTCTTTAAAAACCCTAATGTTTAAATTATTTTCTTAAAGCCCTTAGTTACTTGAATTATTTCGAATCTTGTCGGTTAGCATTTTTTTTTTATCAAAACTAGAATATCCTAGCTGGATTAGGTTCCTTAGCCTAATTTAATTAAATTCTACATCCAATACATGAATTTAACTTCAAGCCCTCACTTCTTTATTTAAATTCAAAATTTTCCCAAAACTAGTATATCACTACAACATTTTCTTAGTTTAGTGACATTTGAAAGTGCCACAAAACTATTCTTCTAATGACATTTTTTGGTCTTGTGGCATTTTGAACAAGTGCCACTTAATGTCATGGTAGATATTATTTGTGGCACTATCAAGCGCCATTAAAAAAAGAGTTAGTGACACTTATAAATGTCATTATACCATCAAGACTAAAGCCTTTCAGTGACACTTTAATGTCATGGTAGGCACTATTCGTGACGCTATCAAGTGTCATTCGTGACTATAATTCGTTGTAGAACAGTTTGATCTGCTCTTGCAGAGACTCGAACCGCCAACCTCCCGCACCATAAACCTTATACACCGCACTCTTCCCACTACACCTCTATAGCACCATATGATTATATATGTACACTACAAGAAATTACATTTTTCGCAACGCAACAAAATATGTTGCTAAAAGGGAAAATTCGTTGGCAAAGAGTTTTGCCGACACACAAAGCTACGTTGGCAACCCGTAGGTAAAAGTGAGTTGGCAAAAGTTTTTGCCGATGAAATTATCATTGCGTTGGTAAAAAGTAATACCTTTAGCGACGAACATAGTCGTCGCTAAAAGCCTCCATCCATTGTCGGCAATTTACCTTGCGTTGGTAAAAGTCATTCAAATATGATGATTGTGTGGCACTTTTCGCGACACATATTTGCATGGACAAAAAATATACTTTTAGCAACAACATATGCGTCGGCAAAAGTAAACTTTTTTCGACACATTTACGTCGGTAAATGTTGCCATTTGCCGACGATTTGTTTGTCGCTAAAGCTTTACTTTTGGCAACGACAAATTGGCATTGGCAAAAAATACACTTTTACCAACACAATATGAGTGGGGAAAAGTAACTTTTAGCGACACATTTACGTCGGTAAATGTTGCCATTTGCCAACGATTTGGTTGTCGATAAAGCTTTAGTTTTGGCAACAACAAATTGGCATTGGCAAAAAATACACTTCTACCAACACAATATGAGTGGGGAAAAGTAACTTTTAGCGACACATTTACATCGGTAAATGTTGCCATTTGCCAACGATTTGGTTGTCGATAAAGCTTTAGTTTTGGCAACGACAAATTGACATTGGCAAAAAATACACTTTTAGCAACACAATATGAGTAGGCAAAAATAAACTTTTAGCTACACATTTACCGACTAATTATTTGTCGAGAAAGCTTCACTTTTTAACAACGACAAATTTGCAACGACAAAAATAATTGAAACTCATTTATAATTTTTTAAAAAATTTACAGATTTACAAGAGGCATCCCTCAGGCACCACTATAACAAACTAATAACATGGATATGAAATCACACAAAATACCCCCTCCATACCCTTCTAGCCAAAACACCAGCAGTTGCCCGAACTTACACCTAATGACAACCCCCATTAATGAAAACCTGATCTATTACAGATTGGACAAAAAGTCATGCACCCTTCCAAACACCAGCAACACCAGCAAACATCCAACAACAACACAGCAGCACCTTATCGTAACAAACACCATCACAGCAGCATCACCACAGCATCTCAGCAACAGCAGCAACATCACAGCAGAACCAGAAGAATAGCAGATCAGCAAACTGATTCAACACAGATCATCACCAGTTCAGAAAACCATTTCAACTCAGCAACCCAAACAAAATCATATAACCAAATCAGAATTGACGCAGCAATTAACCTTATTTACCAGAACAGTCAGAAAACAAATCAAACAAAACCAGTAACAAAACTATACAAAATGCTCAGAAATCAGTTTACCATGTTTGTCATCCATCAATTGTTCAAACAGCCCTCAAAACTATACAATTCTTAGTAACTTTTAAGCCATCAAGTTAAAAGAAGTTAAGTAAAAATTCAAACTAATTCACTGGCTGTCATGTTTACACTAGGAGAGAGTGAGTTACATAAAAACACTCAATTCAAGTACACCACAATGTTTACCAAGCTAACCTTATACCAATGCACTGGAAACAGTAAAAGTAACTAAGCATTGAGATTGTCCATACACCACAATGTTCACTGATGGCTCTCTTCACTGCTTTAGAATGTGACTGGTGCACTGAAATATGAAACAAAGTCGAATCATTTCACTCAGAACCATTAGTGGCAAATTTATTACACTCAAATCATTAAATTAGTCATGAGAAAGTCAACAAAATGCTTCTATAATGAAGGTACCAGTAAACAAGATCAGAAACATTGACCTCCTTCCCCATAACATCTGCTAGTGGGGAAAGAAAAGAAAAAAATATATATATCCATCCCTACAATAAAATACCCGAGTAATGCACAATTAAAATCTTGAGATTGTTAACAACTCTCTCATTGTATTCCTTGCCGCTTATTCTAGCTTCTGTAGGAAGCAGGTCTAGCTTCAATGGAGTTTGCAATCAATCGGAAGATGGTCACACGAGGGTGATGAAGATAAGAGGAAATTTATGCACCCAACAGACTGATCTATAAAACCAAATAGACAATAAACCAGCTAGCAAGTTTGATGGCATTAGTATTACAACAAATGCTAATAAATGCATTCAGGTCATAAAATATGCTTAGTATCTCATACATAGAACAATACGGTACGTGCATTATGTTGCAATATGTGATTTGTTATGTCCACGTTCTCATGAGATTTGGTTGTTTCTCTAGGCTTCAGTCTTGAATAAATTCTACACTGGCGAGTATAAAAAGTTAAAACAAGGAAAGAGAATCAATATAGAACTCCACAATGAAATACGGATCCCTGCGTTTTTAAAATGAAGGCACTTCAGAGAGAGATTGAGAGAGACTTGGGCTTGTAAATTGTAAATTCCATTTTGATATTTAGAGTGTATGACAACTTGGGTAACACACAAGAGATGAATTTTATCTTAAGCCAGTTCAATAGTTCACAGACAAAAATCTTCGGATGTATTTATGAAACAAGAAGTTGTGGCAGAGGAAAACATAAAAAATTTCACTTTTTAAGACCAAATAAATCTCAAGCAAGCTAATCAAAACACAATGTGCAGTCTAAAATGGAAATAAAAGAACATAAACATACCATGGACAGGGGAGATTGTGTGAATTTCTCGTAGTCAAACTCTTGAAATTGCTTTTCGGTGAATGTTGCATTTTCTCCACAAACATCACATTGTGATGACCTCCCTCTGATCTTGACCTAAGCAAAATCATGGTACAAGGCTAATTGAAAAAAAGGGGGAATTGACTGGGCATGTCCACTAAGTTCAACAAATATAGAGGATGTTTATGCTGGAAGAAAAATAAAAAATAAATATAGAGTAGAGAATTTATTAATAGAAAACTGAAATTTTTTAAAACATACGATATGAATCTGTGCAGTCAATGCATCAAAAAGAAGCATCCTTCTTGAGAGTGGTTCACCAACATCACTTGCAATCTTTATAGCTTCAAGGGCTTGGTGGCAGCCAATAATACCAGGAACTGTAAAAAAGAGTTAATTACATTCTGTAGTCCCAAATCCATATAAAGAGTTTTCCACATGTTCATATAGGAATTAGTGAGAAAATTGCTAATACTGTTTTTTACCTGCCTTTCCAATCCTATAGCAGCACCTGATACAAGAGGCTACATGCATAAACATTGAGGTTAATAATCAGAAGATTAACATATGAAGACTAAACTATTTCATTGGATAATACATACAAGCTTGATCAAATCTGTCCTTAAATCTACGATTCTAATAAATAAATGAACATATATGACCCGAAACAGTTGCTTAGGGTTGAAGACACTAACTACATAGAGCTTAAGACCAGGATGACTAGTAAGCTTGCAAAATGTTGGGGTAATAGTAGTAAGGATGACTAGTAAGCTTGCAAAATGTTGGGGTAATAGTAGTATCTTTAGCTTGAAAAATTTATTAACCCGGGTTATTGTAGCATCGTACTGATAAGCCTCACACATTGCATAATTAAGAGCATCATACAACACCACCTAGGAAGGTAACATAGTTACCAATGAAAATAGGTCTCTTTGCTTCATTAAAAGCCCATTATCATATCTAAGTATAAAAAATAAGTAATTATAACCACAGAAAACAGCCTAGTTTTAAGAAAGCAACACTTAGTGCTATGCGCCCAAATAGTAAATTGAAAGTCTAACATGCTTTTAGAAAGCGGAGAGGAATCTGGCACATTTTGCAGTTGTTCTTTCAATCGTCCTCTATTGGTCAAATATAAAACTACTCTTCAATATATCATTTAAAACAACTACAAGAAGATAAAAATAACTCTGTATTCCTATAAATTAATTGAGGTATTAATTAAACAAAAGAAAAGAGATGTACATTCTGCTAGCTGCAATTGCCGCTGATAAACAATGGAACAAAACTAATAATAAAGCGGATCTACTGCAGCACTGACAACTATGATAGAATTTGTGGAAAAAGTTGACCTTAAGTAAATTGAATTTCAAGTTTCATAAGCAGTACCTTATGTGGAAGATTGGAGTAAAGTAAAACAAATAAGAAAATTGGAAAAATGTAGAACAAAACCCTCCTATCAAGAAAAACCCCAATCTGCAACAAATATGTTACATCAAGTTAGAAAGGGGGAAATGCACTTTAACTCAAGTTGAACAATTTCAAAGAGATCCAAATTCTAAGCAACATGTATGCTGTATA